TATATGTATTTTAAGTCAATCAGAATGCTTAATTCGAATTACAATACAATTAAAATGTAAAGCGCACACTTTGATTGGATTAAAATACAAAACGTTTAGTATTTTATATTTTTAAATAAAAACATTAGCTTTTTTTAAAATACTCTAATATGAGTTTCTCCTCTGCTTACGTTTTCATAACTATAATTTACTCTGTGATTTGAGCTTTAAACTTTTTTATTTCAAATAACAGTAAAATTGCATTAAAAACATTTAAATAATAACGTTTTTAAAATGTAATAACATTATAATAATCACGCTGAAAAACTTGAAAAAGTAAGAAAAGAAGAAGAAAAAAAAGGTATTAACTTTTGAATGAATTAATTGAAATTTTGAATCGACCTTGTTATGCAATAAATACTAATATTATGCAATAAATCTTTTTAGTCTATATAGAAGAAATATAACATTGTTTATTAAATGTTATAGTTATCGCTTGTTTATTGTTAACACTTTTCTTGTAAGTACCCACAAAGAGTACTCATGGGAGAACTCCCATTAGTACCCAAATTTATTTCCTTGTTGCTTCTCGATAAGCAATATTGTTTCTTGATAAGGAATATTATTGCTTCTTGATAAGCAATAAGAAAATAAATTTAATTTTACTCTTAATATTAGTAAGCAAATAAAGCATGTTTATGAAAATTAGCGGCGAATTGATGTTGGCATTAAAGCCGAAATTTTAGTTAATTATTTACATTTTTATTTGGTAAAACATAAAATACTAGGGCAAGTTATATTTATATATAAATCTTTTAAATTTTTGTTCTAAAAAAAAAAAGGTTCTCTTAACGTAGAGAGATCTTTTAGACCGGTATGCCCAAAAAACGTATGGATATGTCACTATATACAAATGCATGTGACTAAAACCATTACAAAAATATTTGTAAATAAATATTTTAGTTGAATGCTTTAAGACATTTTACATCAAATATTTGATCAATCTAAAAAATGATAATTTCCAGTGCAAACATTGCATCTGTCAAGCCTTATTCTTCTTCATCGTTTTCCTCACATTGTGCTGCTGCATTTTCCAATTGAAACCGTTATTTCCATATCTATCAGCAAAACAATTCTCCAGAAAACAGACATCTGTTTACTATTACTAAAAACCATTGTAAAAAGGTTTTGTCTTACGCCAAAGCCCGCTATTCTCAGGTCATAAAATCTCATATTTCATCACAAAAATTAGGCACAAGAACCTAATTTTTGAGCCTAAGTTTTGACATCTAGAGAATCTTTAAAAGTATTAATAATAAAGGCAAATCTGTTATTCCACCTCTCTTGTATGGTTCAGACTTTGTAACCTCACCTAAAGGCAAATCCAAATTGTTTGCTAAAAACTTTTCATCAATATTATCTCTTGATTCAACTAGTTGCTTTCTACCTGATATAGCCGTCAAAAAGGTTGAACTGTTGCTTGACATTCATATCACTCCAGTTTCTGTATCTAAAGTGATTTCCTGCTCTTCTACAGCTTGTGTCCGGACAACATACCTGTTATAATCTTGCAGAAGAGTTTCCGGGAGTTGTCATCTGTCCTTTCAAAACTATTTAACAAATGTGAAAAGCAGCATATTTTATCCCTATTTTCAAAAAGTCTGGAGAGTGATCAGATTTGTCTAAATACCATTCCATTAGTCTTCTTCCTATCATAAGCAAGGTTTTTGAATCTTTAATTAAAAAACACTTAATCTCTCATCTTGAATCTAATAACTTACTTTTTCATCATCAATATGGACTTCAATATTCTCGTTTTACAGCTGATTTTGCTAACAGTAATAACCAATAGGTTTTATTGTGCATTAGATAAAGGTGGAGAGGTTAAGGTATCGCTCTTGAAATTTCTAAAACTTTTGATAAAGTTTGACATGCTGGTCTTCTTCATAAGCTTTCTTCTTACAATGCATCTGGAAACATCTTTAAGATTATTGAATCCTTCCTTTCCAATTGTAGTATAAAATTTGTCCTAGATGGACATCACTCTTCTTCTTATTCTGTAACCTCAAGGATTCCTTAAGGTTTAATCTTTGGCCCTATACTCTTTTTAATTTACATAAACAATCTTCCAGATATTCTCACATCTAAGGTGGCATTGTTGGCTGATGATACTACCATTTATTCTTGTCATAATAAGAAACTAACACTCTCTGATTGTTTAGAGGGGGCATTTGAGCTTGAAAAGGATCTCATTTCTGCTATAGCATAGGGCTCACAGTAGCTGGTGAATTTTAATTCAGATAAAACCCAATTTTTTCAGCCAATCGTTATGGCAATAATTTAGACCTTCCTATATTATGAACAGTGATGTAATCGATGAGTCATCTACCCTTCATCTTCTAGGACTAACTCTTACTTCTGATCTTTCTTGGAAACCGAATATCAAATATATTGCAAAATTAGCATCAGCTAAAGTTGCATCTCTTTATTGTGCTCAACACTTTCTTCCTCAAGATTCTATTCTTTATCTCTATAAATCTTAAATCCGTCCTTGTATGGAATACTGTTGCCCTATCTGGGGCAGATCTTCTAATGATGGCCTTTCTCTTTTAGACAAGGTTCAAAAACGCATTGTAAACATAGTTGGACCTGCTCTTGCAGCTAACCTTCAACCATTATCACATCGTAGCAGGATGCGAAAAATCGTTTTTTTTTTAATAAACAATGGCGTTCGTTTCTTTATTTATTGACGAACGTCTAATTTAAGAGGTATGTCAAATATCCACCCCCCCACCCCCCACCCCCCTTCACACATACACACTTATTTTTTTATTTTTTTTATTTTTTTTTTTATTTAAGAGAAATTCAAGATATAGAGGACTTTTTTCATTAATAGATGGTTGCGCACCTCCACTTCGAACCCGTGTGTCGGCCAGAATAAGCCAGTTTCATTTTAACTTCTTTATTTTTTTTTTTTTTTTTATTTAAATAATTTTTTTATTTAATTATAAGGGTGTTTTATTTTCAAATTAATTTTATTCTAGTTAATAAGATATATAATAATTAGATATATCAAAGATACTTATCGAATTTTATCAATTTTTATTAATTTAAAACAATTTTTCACGCATTTGCAAAGTGTGCGCAAATTAATGATAACTAATATGCAATAAACTTTTCACTGTAAACTGTTATCTATTAATACAAAAGAGTGAATTTTTCTCAATTTAGTTTGTTAAATTATAAAAAAAAGATATAAACTTGATAAAATTTAAACAAAAGGGAACTATATAAAAATAAAATAAAAGTTATTTTGACATTTTTATTTTTTAAATATTTAAAAATAATAATATAGTATTAGGCATTTAATAAGTTACTATCAAATACCTGATATGCTTATATTATATTTATAAATAAAATATTATATTATTGGTTGTTGTTAAACGCACAGTAAAAAATCAAAACTATAATCCACATAATAGTTCTATAAAATCTATTAAATTTTATATATTTCTGCAAATTTTTTTTAAAACTTTAAAAACAGCAAATAAACATTAATTTAATGATAATAAGAAAATTTAAAAAAAGCACGCCTTTGGAAAAAGAATGTTTTAGCATGGTTCCGTTTAAAATAATTGCAAATGCATTCATTTTAAGTTAAACTTGCCATTCTTTTGTAAACGCATGTAAAAACCATGCTAAATAAAATTTCTTCTACAGTTGCATACTTAAAAGAAACGCTATTGATGAAAGTATTAGCGCGGTTTCTTTTAATGTCATTGAAACTGCATTTTAAATTTTAGTAACTTATATTTTTTATATTAACTATGTTTTTTTTTATAATAAATAAAAAACTATCAATCGCATAGTTATTTGGAAATAAAAAATTGCTAAAGATATGCATTCGTTTTTAAAAAATTTAAGTAACGTTTGCTTAAATAAAAGTAAGGAAACGTGACGCTCGTTTTTCTGTCTTTTTTTTAACAAGCGTTCGCATGCTCGTCGATTTGTCGCGCCCTGTGTAGTAACGTTGCTTCTTTTTCTCTTTTTATAAATACTATAATGGGCACTGCTCTAAAGAGTTATCGTCTCTTGTGCTTATACTAAAATTCATTCTCGTGTTACTAGTCATTCAATAAAGTCTCATCCTTTTTCTGTAACTGTTCCTAAGTGCTCCAAAAATTCTTATTCCTCTAGTTTTTTTCCTCATCAGTTCTTTGGAATTTGCGTCCTTCATCTTGCTTTCCTGATTTATATAATTTGCATAAAATTCATATAATTACTTTAAATTCATCCGTCAATCGTTATCTTGCTCTACAATCTTTATCTTTTCTCTTTCAATACCTTCTAACTCTAACAGTGGTTGCTTGCGGCCTTGTTGAAAGTGAAGATGTTTAAAAAAAATCTGTTGCCAGGAAATTATTTGAATGTTATTTTTTTCTCCTAATTCTTGTTACAACTATCTTGATACTCCTACCACCACTTCATTATAACTCAGTGAGTTTTCACTATATATCTTTCATTGATACCCTTGTTATTAACCTCCTCTAGAGACCAGTAAACCAAATCTATTACAAAATGTTTGTTTAAAAAAGGAGCCATAACTTTTTTACCAATCTATCAATCTATAGCTTAATTTAATCTATTAATTTAAGCTTAAATTAATCTATTAATCCATACCTTCTATTCTTTACAAATCTCCTTTTCAATCTTGGATGAAATACTGTTTTCATGGCTGCAGCAATGTATATCTTTCTTTTAGACTAGTTTTATTAATGCGCTATAAACATAGCAGGCCTGCTCTACTAACAATATTGAACAGCATACTGTGCTAAATAGCAGATCACACAAGGGCAAACCAGCTTGGTAAAAATAAATAATAAAAATAAATCAGATGGAAATTAAATAAATCAGAATTAAAAGAAAAATACTTTTTTTAAAAATAATTAAAAGATCAATTGTTTATTTTTTAAAAACATTATTCAGCCTAAAAGATCAGTTTAAAAAAAAAGAATAGTTACCTTTTAGTACCTAGATCACTTTTACACAATGGACAACAAGGCTTATTGCCTTTTACAGTGCTTTTAATAAAGTCTTGTAAACAACCACTAATAAATAAAAAATTCAAAAATACAAATATATAATATACATATATATACATATATATATATATATATATATATATATATATATATATATATATATATATATATATATATATATATTTATATATATATCGAAATAAACAATAAACAAAATATTTGTCAACAAAATAAACAATAAACGAAATATTTCTTCTTTTAATTTTACAAAAATTACCTTAATTATAAATTATAGCACTCGAGGCCTTTCAAAAAATCATCAGTAGTGCTGTTTTTGTTATTATAACAACAAAATATATATATTTTTTAAAAAAACAGGAAATGATAATTATTTAATGTTGCTGTTAGCAACTATTGTAATCTATATTGTAATGTCAATTAAATTTGGTTCTGAAAATGCTTCTCATAAGAAATTAGGTTTTTTTTCATTTTTTAGTTCTAAAATTCAATCAACCACTAAAGAAGTAGGATTATTTAAATGCAATGATAATCGTTGCAAAATATGTAAATTCTACCTTCAAGAAGTTAAATCATTTACGACATCAAATGGTATTATATGGACATAAAAAGCCATATTACTTGTAATTGTAAGAATGTTATATATTATTTAAAATGTTTGTCATGTAACAATGTAATGTTTGATAACTATGTATACAATTGTCAACGTGCGCATAACTCCATTATAGAACCTTTTTTCTAGCATTTTGTGTTTGTGGAGCTAAAAAATGAAAAAAAACCTAATTTCTTATGAGAAGCATTTTTACAACCAAAAACATGATACTTTTAATTTACATTACAATATAGATTACAATAGTTGCTAACAGCAACATTAAATAATTATTATTTCCTGTTTTTTTTTTAAATATATATTTTTTGTTGTTATAATAACAAAAACAGCACTACTGATGATTTTTTGAAAGACCTCTAGTGCTAAAATTTATAATTAGAGTAATTTTTGTACAATTAAAAGAAGAAAATATTTCGTTTATTGTTTATTTTGTTGACAAATTTTTTTACTTATTAGTTATAAACATACTTCAAGTTATATATATATATATATATATATATATATATATATATATATATATATATATATATATATATATATATATATATATATATATATATATATATATATATATATATATATATATATATATATATATATATATATATATATATATATATATATATATATTCATATTCATTTTTTTTTAATGTCTGCTCTCAACTTTTAAATGAGCTCTATATAATAAAATAATTCCAGTATTATTTTATTATATATTATATATATATATATATTATATATATATATATATATATATATATATATATATATATATATATATATATATATATATATATATATATATATATATATATATATATATATATATTATTATATATATATATATATATTATTATATATATAACACATTTAGATGGTGAAAGCAGACATTGAAAAAAAAATAATTAAATGGCAATATTATTTGTCAGACATGCTAATATAATATTTATTTATCTAACATTTAAACTTTTATTATTTTAGAATTAAATTTATATATATTAGCTGAATGTTTAATAAAAGAAGTAAAACTTCAACTTGGTTATTAAGTTCTGAAACAATTGAGACAACTGAAAGTAAACTTTTTTCAAATAAACAGGTTTTGAGTGTTTTCTTTCACCACTGCAAGACTTTGACACAAACATTTATGAAAGTGCAACAACTGTTTTCCAAATATAAACAATTTTTTTGAAAAAGCTCCTTGAAGTGATGTTACCACAACAAGTGATCTCCTTTACACTCCTTTTGGAGTTAATATCCTTAAAAAAAATAATGAAAATGTGGACCTTTGCTAGTTCAAAATTTCTGCCACTGTCTTAGGTAGAAATTTAGATAAATGTCAAGTCAGATTTAATAACTCTTTTCACTGATTGATTTTTTATTGTGCCATAGTTTAAGTTTGGCTGAAGCAGAAAGAGGCTTCAATGCAATTAAAACATTAAGACAAAACAAAGAACATGAGTATTGTCTTATAATTGTATTGTTATTTACTACAGTCAGTAGTATAAAGATTGATATGCGTATCAAGATTGAAGATTTATTTGAAGATTTGAATTTATTCGATCCAACAAAAGTCATTGAAAACTGGCTATCAAAACCATCACGGACAAATAAATCAGGATTTCCTAAAGATAGAAGACTTGGTTTCATAAACAACAAAATCTTCTATTGTTTCTCTGTCTTTAAAAACTCTCCTGTTGTTAAAAAGCCAAAATGAATTTAAAAAATTTTCAAAGAGCAACGATAGCAACAATGATAATGATAAAACTATAATGATAGATAATAATGATAATGCCATTCAACTCCAAATAGCAACTGAAAATTCCTTTGTTTGTACAATTGCTAACCAGAGTCAAAACATAACCTATTGTATTTATACCATAAAAAACAATGAACTTGCCCATGTTAACTGTATAAGAGATCTTGGAGTTACCATTGATAGGAATTATAAATTTAATCAACATATCAATCTTATCGTACATAAAGCTATGCCAAGAGCCTATCTTATTCTAAAATCTTTTTATTCACGAGATAGATCGCTGATAGTTAAAGCCTACTGTACTTATGTATGATTTATGCTTGAATATTAATCTTCAGTATGGTTACCTTACACTATATGCCTGATGAATAAAATTGAGAAAATGCAGCGTTTCTTTACTAAAAGAATTGCTGGTCTGTGGTCAGTTTCCTATGATAAGCATCTAGCCATACTAAAGCTTAACACATTAGAATATCGACGAGCGTTTAAAGATTTAGTTTTATGCTATAAAATTCTTAACAGTAAACTGGACACTGACCTATCAAACATTCTTATTCTCAATTCTTACTTGAAAAGTCAAGGTCATAACTTTAAACTTTACAAATACCATTGTAATTTAAACAGCACTAAGTGTTTCTTTTTAAATCTAATTGTTATTGTATGGAATAGTTTATCGAAAAACTGGTGTCTGTATCGTTTGTCTCGATGTTTAAGAACCATCTTGCTGTACTGCTTTGTTCAAGTTGATAAAATTTTGTTCTAACTTGTCCATCACTTTGTTAATGTATACTCCAGTGTTAGTGGCCTTCGGGTCCTGTTGTTTTCAAAAAAAAAAAAAACGTTGATGTTTACTTTTTCTGAAATTAGAAGAGCAAATTTTATCAACACTTTACAATAATTATATAGTTTGCAAAAATATTTTTAAGTTTACCTATAGCATTAAATGTAAAAATGACTTGACTAAAAAAGAATTACGCCGAATAAGAATTTTTTTTTTTAGTTAGAATGGTGGAGGACAACTCAAAACAGTCGCCGACCAACCAAAATCCGACTGTACAACACTAATATATAACCAACTAAACCAAAATATATATCACTAATATATGACCAACCAACCAAAATCCGACTGTACACCACTAATATATGCATCATTAGATACACACTGATGACACCATACTGAATAGGTAGTTACAGGGGCTTTAATACATACATTGACTGAATATCTAGGTAGAACATGCAAAGGAATGCCACTTAATCAACTGTTTGAGTTGTAATATAGACAGTTGGAACAGCAATAAATTCTTCATTATTCTTTATTTTTTCTTCTTGCAAGAAAAGTTGGAGTGGTTCATAAAATGAGGAGTATATTAAAGAGCAGGATCATATTAATATGAAACCATTCTTGAATATAAATGTCTTCACTGCAATCTTTATTTTTTATATTTTTATAATCTTTAAAATCATGTATATAAACATGAATTAAAATTGAGACAGTGCAATTATAAATGAATTTCTTTCAAAATTTAGACTATTTTTTAAAAATCAAATAAAGCTTTGCTGATTATCATCTTACATCACCATTAACTATGGGATCATTTTACTGATTATCATCTTACATCACCATTAACTATGAGATCATTTTTAATTTACTGTCATCTTTTAATCATTAAATCATTTAACCTCTTTTGTAACTTTGGCTTAATTTTGATTTAAAATTTTATTTAAAATTCAACGTCAGCTCATTGTTAACCTTTCATTATAAATTATGAGTCAGGATCTAATTTTAAATTTTTTATAATACTTCGCCAAACTTAAATGTATTTTAAATAGAAAACTTAGTGTAGAATCTTAGAATAGAAAAGGTAACAACAGCTAAAAAAAAACACAACAGCAAAAAAAAAAATCAAAAAAAAACATACATGCTACAAACAGGGACATAAAAAATTTAAAAAACTTTATGATATAAATTTAAAATTTTATAAAAATATATATAAATTTTCACTTTATAAAACTGTCAATCACATTTATTAAAAAAATAATTCATACCTACAAAATTGATGATTGCATTTAGTAGAAACTGGCTGAGAGAGGAAGTCTAAACTAAGTAATAAAATACATTTAATAATAATAAACAGGTCAATTGTTAACAGAAACCACATGATTATATATGTTACAGTAAATACATTAACTGAAGGTTTGGGTTTGTGCATGTAGTATGGGTATGTGCATACAGTATGGGTATGTGCATGTAGTCTGTGTATCAAATAAAAATAATAATTGTCAAAAAAAAAACAATTGTTCATGTTGTAATCAAAACAATTGTTCTTGTTGTAATTAAATCAATTGTTCATGTTGTAATCAAAAAAATGTTTCCAAAAAATAACTGAATAAAAGTGTCTATTTAAAATATTAAAGTTTGCAGAATACTTTAGTATTATGAATCACTATATAAAAACACATTTTTCTGTATAAATCTTAATCAATTTTATCTTTGCATAACTTTTGTTTCTATCATAAGAGAAAATTTTTTTAATGAATTTTTGGAGTTTGTGACTTTTAGGTCATATCAGTTCCAACCGGAAATACAATATTTAAGGCCGGAATTTATTTTTGACTTTTTTTTTAAGAAATGTGATACAGACTGCGTAAATTAAATCAAAAAACTATTGTCCTACAGGGCAACGAAAAACTATAGTTAAACCTAGGTAAAAATACTAAATTCTCAACAAACAAGATGTAATTTTAAGTACAGCGACATTTAATATTTTTTATAATTTCAGAAAAATCCGGTTCCAGACGGAATTTAAAATTTCCTACCCGGTACACCCCTAATTTCAACTATGAAAAAGATAAATTTTATGTTTAAAAATTTCTTTTTTCCAAAAACTTTTCTTAAACTGTAGTTTAAACACCTTGAAAATTTTAAGGACAGGGTTAGGATTAGGGTCAGGATTAGGTTTAAGGTCAATTTTAAGTTAAAACTATTGTTAAAATTAATTTTGAGTAGAAAATATGAGTAGATAAATTTGATGAATATTAGCAGCTGTTTTCTCTTTTTATTATTTGAAAAAGTGAGTAGAATTTGAGGGCAAGTTATTGCAACATTTTAAACAAAATATATCCATGTTTAAAAAGGTTTTTCGAGATTACATATATGACTTGAGTAAAAAACATTTTAGACTTTAAAAATAATTTAGGCGTTAAAAAAAAAAGTACTATTAAATTCATAGAAAAAAAAAACAAGCTGAAATTCTTTCTATTTCTTTCTATTTTATTCTATTAGCTTTGCTTGTAAAGAAATTTCGAGTCAACATCCAGCATGTTAAAAGCTGTATGGTCTTTCTGAAAATGACATTCTAGCAGTTTTGTAAATTTTTATAAAGAAGATGAAGTTTACCAAACATCACAGAGCAAAAAAGATGTTACTGGATTCAATTATCTGAAGGAAAAACAAACAGTATTCAGATATGTCATAAGTTACTATTTTACTATATATAAGTTACTATATACTGTAAGTTAAAGAAACTTTTGAGTTATTCATCAAAATTGGACTCACAATGTTATCAAATTTTGTCAACACAATGTTAAATTTGTTACAAAATTTCCACATAATGTTTGTGTTTCTAGTTTGCATGAAAATATGCGATTAGATTCATTAACAAAATCAATTTAAGCGCCTTTGATTAAAGTTGGATTTAAAATGAAAGTCAACTTTGTTTGTAAACTGTACACATAGGATTATACCTTTGACAAATGTGCTGCATGAAAAGATATAAACCAGTTTGATAAACACTTGCAAACTGTTGATACAACTAATTTTGAAGTATCCTCGGACAAGTGGAGAAATTCTGAAATTAAAACAAATGCAAACATTCAAAAGATTTCAAAGAAGTGGTTGCTTGCAGCCTTGTTAGGAGTGAATTTGATTTAAAAAAATTTTTTTTTTAATCAAATTTACTCCTTATAAGGCTGCAAGCAATTACTATTAAGTTAGGAGTTACTAGAAAAAAAAAGGTAGAGTTATAAAACAGAAGACTTAAAAAGTTAAAGGTTATATGAATTAGGAAAACATGAAGATGGGAGAGTTTCCAAGTGTTGAAGTAGAGGGTAAAAAAACTAGACAAATAAAAGTTTTTAGAACATGTGGGGACAGATACAGTAAAAGAATGAGACTTTGATGAATGACGAGTAAAGCAAGAATAAGTTTCAGTTGATGGAACTAGAGCTGGTAGCTCCTTTGAGCAGCGAGCATGATAGTATTTGTAGAAAAGAGATAGATGCAACTTTACGATGATGGGAAAGAGGCTTAAGCTTAGCAGATAGAGCAGGTCCAACTACATTTACAATGCGTTTTTGGACCTTGTCTACAAAAGAAAGAGCATTATTAGAAGAACCAGCCCAAATTACAAAAAGCATTTGTAAAGAAAAATCAATCAACAATTTTTAAGAAATTGAAGCAAGTTTCGATAAATATTAGTTCTGAAATTGCATTAATCCAAGTTGATTGGGCTGAAAATGCTAAGAGTTTCTATCAAAAAGAACCTCATTTTGGTCAAAACCAAATTTTTATCATGATCCTTGCAGTCTGGAATGTTGAGTTAAAAATATTTGCTATAGATTCTGATTCAACTTATCATACAAAGTCTTCAGTTATACCATACATCAACAAAATCCTTTACTTCCTAATCAAGTCAAAAGACTCCACGTGTTTGTGACAATACCACTTCTCAGTTCAAAAACAAAAGGTTGTGCTTGAAAAAAAGTTAAGAAAAAAATTCTTCTGACATTTCTTAGCAGCAATGCACAAGAAAAGAGTGGTTGACATAATTGGAGCACTGTTATGCAAACTGCAGAATACAAGATCAAATCAGCAGCAAATTTTGCCTTTTGTATTACAAAATTTGCAAATATTTGTAATTTATATATCAAAATATGATACAAAACAGCAAAAAAAATAAACTTGGATTCAGTTCAATTTTATGTTATTCAAGAAAAATTAAAGATATCAAAATCACATTTTTATCTTCTGAATAATAACATTGTTCCTACACTATTTTCACATGAACATAATTAAATTTATTACAAAATAACCAAATTTATTAAACATGATTCAATTCCATCTTTTGTTTCATCACTGAAGGTTGCAACACTGAACTGATTTTTTTCTTTTTCACAGAAAAGTTTTTTACTATAATGTAAATCAGTATGAAAACTTTGTTGTTAGTAGCTTTTTTTATGACTGACTGCAAAATGAATAAATTACAACAACAAAATCTAATTAGTTTACCAAAAAGTAAAGTTTCAAAAATAAATTTAAAATATACTGATAAAAAAAAACTACTTCCACATTGCGTAACTGAAGTTATGTTTTAATTTTTGTCTTGTGTCAGTGTAAAAACAATAAAATTATTTTAAACTTATATTATAAAACTCATTCAAGATTAGCTTAGAGCTATAAATAATTTTTTTCGAGATTTTTTTAAAAAAAATTATTAAAAATCTCTCCACATGATACAGTCACTGAACTATGGAAATAGCTATGTGCAAATTTATTTTCGTTAAATTCATTTGCAATTAGAATTTTTTACAACTAATGGTTTACCAACCTACCTTACAAAATATAACTTAAATTTATTAGAGAATATTTCAAATATCTAACAAATGATTCAAACAAAAAATATTCTTTTAATTTTAGATTAGTTCACACCATGCTCTTAGTTGAACTTAATTTTTAAAAACTAAATCAATTAACCTAATCAGAAAAAATGGTAATCATCAACTAAAAAAATTATCAATTACTCATAAACATCAGCTCAGTGCTAGAATAAAGAGGGGGCTAGGAAGGGGGCTATGGCACCGGGTCCTGCAGTTTTGAGGACCCAATTTAAAACAAAATATTTTTTAAAAGAAACTCTAAAAAGTAAAATCTTTGATTTATGACATGGAATGGGGCCTCCGCTTTAAAATAACTCTAGGCTCCAAAAAGTCTTAATCCACCACTGTATTATTTTTATTATTATTTATCATTATTTAAACTCAATTACAGTTGAACAACTTTGCCTTTATAAATACAATATCTTTATAATTTATATAAAATCAGTAAATTTCCGGTTCCTCTTCCACTGCTTGAGTAGTATATGCCAATGGCATAACGCGATAGATATATTAAGAGACAACTCCATTAAATATGTTGGCCCCTATAATATCGAAGCCTTTACTACCTTGTCGGTTTGCCACTTTTTTAATGATAAGGTTCAAGTCACCGTTGAATTTAAACATTTTAGCCATTGATGGATGACATACTCCCAACAATGCCGACTTGACTACTCTTGTTGCATGAACATTTCTTCTTTCCCCCAAGGTGCACAGCTTTAGTTTGTCCAAAAGGGGAGCCGAATGAGTGTTTCTTGGTTTATGACAGATGATACGGGCACACTGCTTTTGTATTATGTCAAGTCTCTTTAGTTGCACTTTGGATTGACCTAGGTATAATATACTGGTATATTCTAATTGACTCCGTATAAATCCTTTATAGGCTATATTTAAAAGTTCCCTCGGAAGCCTGACAGATGCTTTTGCTAATAATCCCATACTAGAGTGGCATTTTTTAACGGTTGTATCGATTTGTTCTTTGAATTGGAGATGTTGATCTATAGTGACTCCTAATAGCTTAACATGAGTTACTGGTTGAATATCAGTATTTTCAATTTTAATGTGTAGGTTATCAGGAAGTCTTTTTCTCGGTGATTTGAACACTATCACTTGCGTTTTACTGAGGTTAATAGTGAAACCATAATCAACACAGAATTTATTTGTATCTCAATACGCTTTGATTAAATTTTCAGTGACAATTTGTAGTAAGCTGTCTGCAGCTGATATGTAAATGTTGTCTGCAAATAAATAAGACTCAGTTGTTAATGATTGTGGAAGATCTCAAGTAGATTTTGAATAGTTCTGTATCAGCTACAATAGTCATAATCAATCATCACCCACAATTTTAAATATTCACTAATATTATTTACTCACTATCACCAACATTGTTTATAAAAATTAACTCAGATTTAAAAACATTTTAGCTGTAGATAAATTTCAAGATAGCAGAAATTAACTAATGCCATATATTAAGCCAAAAAAACAAAAAAAAACACATAATTAAAAAACTGATAAGTTTATATAAACAAGTTTGAGAATCTTTTTCTTATTTTATTTTGATGAACTATTTTATTTTTACTTTGATGAATTAATATTAACATTAATATTAAAATTAACTTAAAACCTGGAAAGATAAAGGTGCACTTTTGTATAAATAAAAATTTGTTGCTCTAAAATGAAGTAAATTTAAAAAAAAACACAGATACATCTGGGAAAAAATGTTTTTTAATATACTTTAAAATTTAACGGTATTTCAGTACAATTAACCTTCAAAAATAAAACAATACCATCTTTAATTAGAAGAAGGACTTCATTAATATATATATATATATATATATATATATATATATATATATATATATATATATATATATATATATATATATATATATATATATATATATAAATAATAACCAAGGTTTCAATTAGAAATAAATACTTGTATTAAAGTTAATAAATGTTAAAAACATAAGAAAAATGAATTATATACAAAAAACTTAAAAATTGTTTCCTAAAACTATCTTTAGGTACATATGATTATCTAAACCATAGATAACCATATGTACAACAAATCCTAAAGTGAGCCATTACATCTAAAGAAAAAAGTGTTTAGGTAGTAGTTTAGTAACACATTATTTTATTCTAAACCTATTCCCCCTCATCCTTATCACATCTACGCGCAAATGTGTTAAGGTAACATCTTTTGTGTAATTATCTGTGTTCTAATCACTGTAATTTTGCAAAACAACATTTGACATTTGACCTTACTAAAGTTTGCACTTCACATTCAGAAAATACCTCTTTTTTGAAAAAAACCTTTCAGCTGTTTTCAAGTTTGATTGGTGGGTGTTATTTAATTAATTTAGTTAATAAAAATGTTAATTTTAAAAATATATATTAAATAATACCATATTGTGCATTGAAAATTCTTTTTCAAACTTGAAAGAAGCTTTCTTATTTCTTTAACAGTGTCCATTGATAACTATACCTAGTAATTTCTACTTTTTATGCAACTAAAAAAAGAATTCAAGTTAACATAAATTATTTTATTTATTTATCAAAATTTGGTTCCCAAGAACTGAAATCAAAAAGTTCGTCGGCTCAGGATGCAATTGTTGTATCGCAAATTTATTAAAATTATATATGAATATGTAATAACATAATTTATGTAAGTTATGTAAATTATTTAATATAAATTATTTAATATAACATTTAAAAAAAAAAACTTTTTTCATTAATATATGATGTTAAATTTACATATATTAGATAATTACATATTTATATATAACTTTAATAAACTTGCGATACAACAATTGCATCCTGAGCCGACAAGTTATCCATGAAGGATAATTTGAATGTGAATACCATGGAACAATTTAACAATAAGAAAAAAAATATTATTTATTTAAAAAATGTTATATATTAAAGAACTTATATTTATTAAAATAACTTTTATTTAGGGTAGGTGGGGGTAAAGATCCACACTTCGTAGTTTTGGACTAATTGTGCGAAATTTATTAATTTGGGAAACTTTAAATTTACCTGTTATTGTAGAACAAGTATTAATCAAATCAAACCCCTTACCACCAGTGCTCCAAATAATGCACAAAGATTATGGTAGAGAAAAATGGGGCGAATTCCTAATAATTTTGAAAAAATTATTAGGAATTCACCCCATTCAAAGAAATAAAATACTTTTAAAAGAAATGTATAATTAGTAATTAACAATAAGAATATATATATATATATATATATATATATATATTTATTTTCATTATAAAATATTATCAAAAATTTAAAAAAAACATTTGTTCTAACAGAGTTTTTTTTATATTATGTTCTTGGAAAAACTTAAAAACAAATTTATCTAAAAAACTGATAAATTTAAAAGATCGGTTTTAAAAAATAAAGTATCATTGAATCTTGACGTTGTACTTTTATAAGGTATTGAAAGTCATCAGGTTATGAGTGCTCTCTCATTAGTTTTTTTTAAAGCGCTGTGTTTTTGGAACTTTTTTTAAAAATATCACCATGAATTCACCTTGGCCTTCTGAGCTTATGAGCTGACCAACAAAATATTTATTAGGACCCATTTTGTCCTGGTTGTAGAATACTTTGACAATTACATACACACCTAGAGTAAGTTCTGTAACTCTTTCATCAAGTTCCTTTTCCTCAGGCTCAGTGTAGTCAACATCAGAACTACTTTCATGAAGAGAATAATTCATTTCATCAGAGGATGAAGAAACAAAATTTGTTTCCTTTTGTTGTTTACGAATTTGTTTTTTTTTTTTTGTTCTTTTCTGCTCACTTAGTTTTATTTTAATCTTTAAAGGCTCTTCTTTGTGTTTTTTGTTTTGCTCCTTAAGTTCTTCCTTTTCTTTTTTTTTTCCACCTCCATACCTTCTAATCTAACTTTAATAGAAGTACCAGTGAGGACTGTAGATTTCAGTCCTTTTTACTATGCTTTCTTTTGATTTAAATTTTTGGCAGAGGAATGATGTTAGAAGGAGGTGTAGCAACTGAAACACTGAATGCTTCAGTCTCAAGTAACCTCATAGCAGAAGATGTACAATATGACTGAATGGAGCACTCAATAGAAGGACCAGGCTTAGGTGATTGGGAAGCCATATCTTCAGGCCTTTCAGCTGATGTAACCACCTTTTACTGAATCTTTTCAGACACAGTATCAAAAACAACCGCTACTTGGATGGTCATTTAAATCAGATTCACCAACTTCCTCCTGCTCAGTGACAGAAGAAGCCAAAAAATCTTCTTGTAAAAATATTTTTATCTAATGGATAAATCCTTGTCATTTTTAATCCAGTGACTGCCTTTTCAATGTTAGCTATTTTTTCATAGGCCTGCTTGAATAAGACATGATATTCTGTTAAAACCTGCTCAGGATTAAATGAACTCTAACTATCACAAAAGTCGTCATAATAGGTCTAAAAAAAATCCTGTCTAGAGATTAAGTGCGGTGGCTACTGTGTAAGGGAAGACTTAAAATATTGTTTTGCTTTGCAAGAGTTATAGCTTGAAGAGATAAATGGGAAATATGGTAATTCAAGATCAGTAAAACTGGACTTTCTATAGATGGATTGGTTTTTTTGATTTTTCGTTTTCACGTAAATAAAAAAAAAACGGTGGCACGAATGTCTTGTGGCATTCATGCTATAAGCTGTGGTAAATGTTTTGCCTTGTTCAGCAGAGACATTTGCAACTTCTTTTTTTCCTGTGGGGGCTATATGTTTAGGTAATTTGTTGGGCACAGTTTGAAAACCAATCTATGTTGTGAATTCTGTTTGGTTAAAAGTTATATTTGACTATTAGCTCTATCAAATTTTTAATATAATGGTCCAGCTGCTGTTTGTTAAAACCCATTGCGATAGCAAGACTTGTCTTTCTTGTAGTTCTTTGAGACAAGCTATTTCTTTTCATAAAATCCCTTGTCAAGTCTCTACCAGCACTTAAGAGTCACATTAAACTGATGAGCAATACCATTTGTTTCTGAATATTGATAAGCAAGAGAATGGATTTTAAGGTTAAACCATAAGATCTAGCATCCAAAGCTATGCAGTGTTCCACAATTTTACATTCCATAAGATCTGAAAATATTCTTCTGAAGACTGAGAACCGTATCCTATTTTTAACCTTTTTCCGATATTGGATTCATCAAAATTCAGTGTTCTAGCAACTGCCCTAATTGAAAATCCTGAGTTTTTCATTTCTTTTACCTGGTTAAGTATGACATCAGTCAAGAGCTTGATTGCTTCTGCTTTACTCCTATAGTTTCTGGAAAAAAGGCAAAAACGGATCCATTTTATTTTCTTTTAAACGCATTAATAATTAAATATTAAGATTACAATCACTATTAAAAAACAAAAATAAAAAACAAAAAAAATAAACAAAATAATTAAAACAACAAAGAACAACCAACAAAAAAGCAAAAACATAACAATTTTTTTCTGTGGGGCAAAGATCCTATATGCAGATCTTTGTCCCTTGTACAGTGCGGACATTTACCCTATTATCATTTGTTAGCTTTATCAATAATTACTATAAAACCCACAACGTTTTTTAACTTGGAATATTTACACAGATAATCTATAATAGGTATTAAAAGTAACAATCATATTTAAATTATATCAAGAACAACTGAAAAACGCTTAGATATAGACTAATTTCTATAAAAATTACATAAAAACTTAATAAATCATATCTTAGGGGCCATCCATAAAAGACGTCATCCAAATAGGGGGCTGGGGAAAGGGTCAAGATGAAAAGGACAAAAAAAGACAAGGGGAGGGGAGGTTGTTAGAAAAGGAAGTCACTATAGATTTTTTATTTTAGTTTAATTAACATGTGTTTTTAAGAAGATAATGTATGAGAATATTTTTAACTTTATTTTATTAAGCAGCAGATTCAAACATCATTGCGAGATTAAATAAATTTAGGGGTTAAAATAGAGGGGGAGTCAGGATTTTATGACATTCTTTTCAAGGGGGTATAGGGAAAAAGGACAACGGGTGACACAGGATGGAGGGGTCAAAAATTGGCTAAAAAATGGTGATGTCCTTTATGGATGACCCCTTACCTTATGTCTCGTGTTTAAAAAACTTGCAGAAAACTGATAATTAATCAAGCAGTGATGTTCAAAAACTAGAATTACCTAAAAGTATCAGTTTCGCCAATATATAGAGTTATATCTAATTAAATCTCTGCGAATCTTTACCTCCACCTACCCTACTTTTTTATTATTAGCATAATAACTATTATATACACATATATATATATATATATATATATATATATATATATATATATATATATATATATATATATATATATATATATATACATATTATTGAATATATACTATTAAATAATTATCAAGCAAAAAAATTGTTAGGCAGAGTGTTTTAAACAAAAGGGAAAAAAATTTACCCATATCATTATCTTATTATAGGTCAAATTATGATTTTAGCTTTAATATGTGGTTAGAATGTCCCATTTTATACTTTTAAAAAATGGAAAAACAATAGTATAGTAATAATAGGGAGAAAAATATATCTCAGCCAAAAATATCAACTAAAAAACCCCTTAGTTGTAGCATGTTTGTTAAGAAGTTTTATCTGATTCATTTTAGAAGTCACTTTAAAATATTGTTTTACCAGGTGTAAAACTTTTTCTTTCTCCTTATCTTGATTGAATTAAGTCTTTTAAATCCATAATTTACATTTGCAACATATTTTCTTGTTTGAAAACAACAGAGTTTATTAGCTGTAAGGCTAAATATAAAATTCTAAGGTTACAGCATAGATTGCAATTTGTATTTATATTTGATAACTATTTTTATTTTAATATGGGGCTGTCAATTAATTATGTCAACAAAATGATGTGAAGGGGAGGGAGGGTCAAAATATTTTGACAGTTGTTGACAAGGGAGAGGTCAAGTAAAGTTGAAGTCAACAATGCAATTTTATTAAATAAAATTAATTACTTAAAAAAGGGGGAAAAAAAGGATTTTTTTTTTTCATTAAAATTTTTTTAAAGGGGGATGGGGGAGGGGGTAATTAAAAGTTGACATATTTTCATAAGAGAAGGGGGGTCTCTGGAAGTTTGACAAGTTCTTAACAAGGTGGAGCAAGAGGAAAAAATTCACGAAAAATTGTTGACATAACTAATGAACAACCACTATTAAATTCTTATTCAAAGTAAATAGAATTCATTTTTTTCTATTCTATTTATTCTATTATTGTTATTATTTTTCTAGTCTGTTTAATTGCCAAAAATACAGTGAAATATTTAGGTTGCAAAAAAAAAGTGAATAAAAAATTAAATTTTTCAATGGTAAACTTCATAACATTCTCATTATTTGAAATGATATCTTCACGTTCATAACTGCATATATACAATATGATAATTACAACTAGTTAAAAACTGATAAGGAGTTATGATGGTATGAAACAATTATTAAAAATATATGATAATAGTATTAAGTATTAATTATTAAGTAATGATAACTATAATATTGTTATTAATAAATAACAGTAATAACATTAACAACAACAACAATAATAAAAATAATAGTGTTTATTATAAAAATAATAATACCAAAACACTAAAAATACAGGTTCATAGAAGTGGGAATTTGAAGGAGTGCTATATAGAAGCGGTTATACCTACATTTATAAATTCAATCACTCACATAAACATACATACAAAGCAAATAAACATATACCTATATGTAAATACATATACACAAAATGCATAAATACACACTAACATTTATACATTCATATAAACATGTACATATATGAAAAATAATTAAAACAAGGGAAAACTGAAAACAGTTATAATTTAGAAAAATAGTCAAGATAAAATAAAGATATAGGACAGCGGTAATAATGTATTATAACATTATTGAGTGTTTTTATTGAGGATAAATTTTTTTATATTGGTAATGACAGTGTTTCATGATTTAGTCAAAAATAGAAAATTTAGGTGTTCTGAAAGATAACATGGGTGCTTTTCATATATAAAATGGGTGCTTTTTATAATATATTATATTATAATATAATATATACCATATTCATAACCAATGTTTTTAAAATTAGATTTTATTAATCATTCAACTGAGTGTTTAATAAGTTGCAGATATTTTTACAACAAATTATTTTTATATAACTTTTTAAAAACTTCTTCATCAAGCCTACATCAGAATTTTTGACGATTATTTTAATAACATTTCTAAAATTATCCATATTAAACAATTTTTTATTGTCCTAGGAAAAAAATGAAGATTACAATATTATTATTATTATTATTATTATTATTATTATTATTATTATTATTATTATTATTATTATTATTATTATTATTACTATTATTATCATTACTGTTATTTTTCTTATTGCTGTAGTTATTATTACCTTTATGTTTTTATTTTTATTTTATTAACAATATATTTAGTTACACAGTTAACATTATTTATAATAACTAATAATAATTAGTAATTATCCGTAATTAAATTACGGACCATCGTGATAAACTTTGTCATGATGATCACCATCATAATGACATATGATCATAATAAATAATATTAGTGCTACACTTATATTATACAATAATTGCACAATAAGTGTAGCACTGCTAGTTTCCAGTTATAATTGATTTATTACATTTCAAAAGCTTCAAAAATTTTTGTAATATGCATGTAATTGTGAAGTTTTAAGGTAGGACACCAAGGTATAACTTCAGACACTAACTAAATGTTAATACGGATATATCCAGTATTTTGAAATAACTTAAGCACACATTTTATATAACTTTTTAAAACCCGTCTTGGTACCGAAGTACCAAGTGTCGTTGCATTAGCGTTTTTTGTACCGGTCTCTATCGTAACCAAGGTGAGGCGTATTGAGGCGGTTTCCCTATATGTGAGGCGAGGCGTAAGCCTCAATTCGCTGAGGCGTAGACCTCGATTTGTTTGAGAAAAAACTTGTGTTATTACGGCTATTGAAAGTTTCAACTGTTGACTAAATCGACTAATATATTTTCTAAAGTCGATCAAAGTCGACAAACACATGTTTGTCGTCTTTAATCGACAAACACATGTTTGAAACCGACTAAGTCGACAAACACATGTTTGAAACCGACTAAGTCGAATAAAAGTCGATTTAATCAAAATAATGTGAATAAAATATTTGAAATAATTGCAATTTAATTTTTTAATAAAGATTATTCAAGTAGTTCAGGGCCGGGTACCACAATTTTAGAACTGGGGCTGTAAATATAGGGGGTTTCTTAAAAATTACCCATCGGGAGCGAGAGTATACAAGGGTTTCTGCTGGGCTGAAGATCCTCAGCCACACGGGTATAGCAGCGAGTTTGGGGGCTAGACAGTTCCCCAAGCAGGGGATAAAAGTCTGTACAATCACGTTTACACTTGAATTATAGCCTATCCGCTTTCTTCAGTGCATACCTCATAACATAATATTATGAGGTATGCAGCAGGTCTGCCAAGAGAATTTTCGGGGTTATGAGTTTAGTACTACTGCAAGTTACTAAATGACGGTGTGACTCTAGGTATAAATTATATTAACTATTATAGGGTATAAGTATAAGTATAAGTTATATTAACCAGGTATAAGTTATATTAACTTTATTATTATTATATTAACCAGGTATAAGTTGTATTAACTTATTCAAAATTAGATTATCATAATTTTAAAACGAGGTAGTTAAAATCACCAATGCAAGTAACAAGTAAATATGTTGCTCTATTTTTATTGCAAAATTTATGCGAAACAAAGGGTAATTGGTACAAAAAGCGGCGTTGATCGCACCCACCAACCCCACCTGCAGTACGGACTTGCAATAATTGTTGAGTGTTTTAACGATGATGGTAATAATTGTTAAGAGAGGAAAAAAAGGAAGATTATTTGCATAATTTTAAGCAAAAAAATTTAAACAAATTATAAGATTTTTTTTTTTTTTTCAGTAAGATATTTTGTAAGATTTTTAGAATTTTATAACATGAAATAAAATTGAAATTTAGGTTAAGTTAAATTTCACAATTTCTATTTTTTCACCGAGAAAGGACTGATTGCAATAGCCCAATTTAAATGTAGTTAAAATTCCAATTACATAACACTTTTATCCGAACTAAAATCTTGTTTTAAAACATTATCAATATTATGTTGCATAAATCAGTTAAGTTACTCTCATTCCAACACTTTTCAAATATTCTTTCTCAATGCATTCATTCCCATTAATTTGATATTGTGAAATTGCATTGAATTCTTTTTCTCTTTAATTCATTTGAGAATTAAATTCTATATAAAAAATTCATTTTGATTTCAAAACAATTGAAAAAACATTTTTATTTTATTTAAAAAAAAGTAATACACATCTTAGAGTTAAAACGTCATGTCCAGTTTTCGAAAGCATGATACCAGCGTCCCAAAGCAGATACGAGCGTCCCAAGGCAGATACCAGCGTCCCAAGGCAGAAAAAAAGCTGTAGAAAAAGTTGTAAAAGAATTCAAGAACAAACGCACACTGGAAGAATGTGGCTTCGATAGAGTTTAAAAAAAAAAGACATTTAATAACTCTACGTCCGACCAAGTATAGGTAATCAGCTTTATTTTTTTATTCATTTATATTCATAATTTTATTCCTATATTAATTTTAAAACTGTAATAACAGTTCTATTTTAGACGGACCATGCTACTAACGCTTTTTAGACGGACCATGCTAACAACCGTTGCTGAACCCTTAAGTTCAAGAAAGCCATCTTCCTCTTCAAATTTTTTAACGGTCTCTGAAAAAGAATCTAATCGGGTGAGTTTGGAACACATTCTTATTTTGTAAAAAACCTGCAGGTATTAAAAACATATTGTTTATTATCTACAGATTATAAAAACGTATCACATAATATTTGCAGATACTAAAAACATACCACAATTCTCAAAGGCTTTTTTAATTTAGGGTCGAGGGGCGATTTAACTGGGTGATCGAGCAGTTGGAAGCAACTCTGCTTTGTGGGAGACAATTTTATCCAGAGTCGAACGCTGAGGAAATACAATAAGACACTTCAGTTCCATCTAGAAGAAGTTTATTTTGATCAGACCCGCACAGACTTTGTAGTGCCCAAGGTCAAAAATTGACCCTGGGCACCACAAATTCAGTGCAGGCCTGATCAAGAGGGTTTAATAAATGAATCTGCAAAATAAGGTTGACTAAAAAAAAGAGTTTGATAAATCGAGTTCTCGCACCAAAAAACGATTGATAGCAAATATATCATTTGATTCAAAAACGGAATCCGTCGAAAAAATATTTTACTCAATTAAGGCCTAATATCCACATAAATACAACGATTACATTTGTGGCCACCTTTTTCAATCGAATATTTCCCATGTGCACTGGAGATAAAGAACAAGAATGCAAAAACAATTTTCGTTATAATTCATGTTCCTTTTAATACACAGCAACAAAAATCCGTAACAGCCAATATTTGACTTAGTTGAAAGTTAAAATTCGCTGCAGTACCTTCCGCAATGGCTTTTTTACAAAAGCAAAAGAAATGCAAAGAAAAATTTATATAACTCACAGAATAAGAAAAAAGAAAATGTAAAAAGATAATAAAAAGACAGATAAAGTAAAACGGATAAATAAAAGGAAAGTATTTATATTTGTACTACTTTTTGTAAACATTACTGTTGTTAGTTTACATTATTACATTGAATGTTTTGCTTATTATACTAATTTTTTTGTAAGTTTTTATTTTTTTTAAGTTCTTTTGTTTTGTAAAGTGTTTTTTTTTTTTTTTTTTTTGTTTTAGTTTATATTTATTTATTTGTCTTGGTGAATTGGAAACTGGTACTTTGACTGTCTTTTGAGACACAATACTGAAAAATTTTGGAATACAATACTGAAAAAATAAACTTTACAATTAACACAGGGATTAAAATTAAAATAATTGAGGATAAAAGGAATGAATTTTAAAGATGCAAATAAAATATCTTTGAAATAGAGTAGCAAGCAATAAAATTTTTTTTTTACTACTTAAACAGAGTTATTAGTATTTAAATTTATCTTTTACAAGTATTTCCACAAATACTTGTAAAAGATAAATTTAAAAATATTATTGGAAAACAGTTTTTTTAGAACCCCAAAGCAGAGAGTTTTTCAGTCACAGTTAACTTTTTTTTCATTTTCGTTTTAGGTACCCCAAGAAGACCTAACGCTCTTGTTACAGAGTACCACGGAAGAGTATTTAAATAGGAAGTTCACGCCTCCATCCTTACCAATGGCACACAATATGCTCAAAGCTCACTTTAAACCCCGGATCTCTTGCTCCTAAAGCAAGCGCTCTAACTACTGCGCCACGGCCGCTATTGTTCTTATATCACACACACACACACACACACACACACACACACACACACACACACACACACACACACACACACATATATATATGTATATATATGTATATATATATATATATATATATATATATATATATATATATATATATATATATATATATATATATATATTATTGTATACATATATATATATATATATATATATATATATATATATATATATATATATATATATATATATATATATATTCACATATATATATATTCATATATATATATATATATATATATATATATATATATATATATATATATATATATATATATATATATATATATATATATATATATATATATATATATATATATATATGCTTTATTTTAATGCGTCATAATTGATATCTAATACCTATTAGTATTTTATAATATGATTATTATATTTATTAAATCATAGTTTAAAGGTAAGAATGAGATTGCGGCAAGAATAAAACGATTTATGGCAGTTGATAAGATTAACCAGATGATAAAAAGTTAAAAAATATAGAAAGCTAATGGGCGTGTCAAAAAAATATAGAAAGCTAATGGGCGTGTCAAAAAAATATGTTTTGCTTTTTTTCTATAAAGGAACTCGTTATTTAATTTTTCAGTAATAAATATTTTTGTTTGTGAAATTTCCAAAAAAAAATTTCCTTATATAAAGTTAATTTAGAAGGTCAGAAATCAAAATATATTTTATAACAATAAAATGTGTATTCAAAAAAATATGTTTTGCTTTTTTTCTATAAAGGAACTCGTTATTTAATTTTTCAGTAATAAATATTTTTGTTTGTGAAATTTCCAAAAAAAAATTTCCTTATATAAAGTTAATTTAGAAGGTCAGAAATCAAAATATATTTTATAACAATAAAATGTGTAACTAAGCGTCGGGATAGAAAAAAAAAAACACAATAAAAATGTACAAAGTAAGCGCCACAAACAAAATAATCAATTAAAAAAGTGAACGTCAGAAAATATTTTTATAAATCTCTCAAAAAGAATAACCAAAGCTATTTTTTTAAATTCAAAAGAAAAATAAAAGATCATATAAGAAAATTGTGTTATTCATAGATGACAGGTGTAAAGAAAATCATTTTCTTTGCAAGAATCTTAGATGAAGTTCGACAATGACAATAGAAATCATTAAATCGTTTTTAAGAATTTATAGCATTCAATTATTTTATTCAAGATAATTTGAGGAGTAATTTTTGAATACATATATTTATAATTTAATACTTATTAATAAAGTAAACGAATTAACCAATTACAATTGGTCGGTTTATGTAAAGTAAATGGATTGGTCATTTTTGAGAATTGAATAAATTACGTTTTCTAGGTTTAATTAATATGAGCTTAAAGGTTTTAGACCATTGACCTGGAAGGTTGATATTCATAAGTACTTTGTTTAATTCTTTGCAACTTTCTCGTACATTTGAAAACAAAAATGTATCTAAGGTTGCTTGTGGTATTCTTCGTATTACAAATTTCACTTCAAGAAAGTAATGTGCGCGAACTAGATCTGGGAAAGTTAATCGAGGACTATTTGGCTAAAGAAAATGTTCGCAGAGAAGAGTTCCTAAATAAAATAAACACTGAAATTTTGCGATATATTTATGAACTGGAAAATGAAAACAAGGGGAAGAGACGCATTGAAGACAGTGCAGATAAAAATGTTTTGGAAAAAGTTCTTACGGAGGTTCCATCTATCCGAGAAAGCGCGATGAGTAAGGAGTCTAACGTAAATAAGGTGCATAATTCTTTGGATAGCAAATCAAGCATTCGTTCTATACCAACAGGTACATTAATTTTTCGTGGAAAAAAAGAATCTAATTCAAATAACGAAAATACATCTGAGCAAGGTGCTCCAGGGAGTTTGCTGTTTCGAGGGAAAAAAGAACCTAATCTAAAAGAAAATTCAAAAAATGAAACTGAAGCATCTCACGGTGAGCGTCTTCAGCAAACAGAAAGAAACTTTTTGGTGAAAACAAAAGAGTATATTGAAAAACTTTTAAACTCAGGCGAAGAAATTGTCTAGCTTTTTTGAATAAATATTAAAAATCTCACTATATTAATACAAAAGAAACAAAAATTATTTATTAATTAGCTTATTTTTTTATATCTAGTGTTTTATAAGCAATTTGTTGATAATAATCAGCAATCTTTTATTACATACATACATACATACATACATACATACATACATACATACATACATACATACATACATACATACATACATACATACATACATACATACATACATACATACATACATACATACATACATACATACATACATACATACATACATACATACATACATACATACATACATACATACATACGTACATACAATACATACATACAAACGCACATGTGTATATATATAAAATATATATTGTAATAAATTTAGTTTGTCATAACTTATAACAACCTCCCTTAATGTTTTTCCAGGAAATTTAACTACTACACTACCAGATTGTTTGCCTCGATTTTTAATTTATCTATCTTATAGAAACATAAATAATCATCGTAAACTTGTATTTTTTATCAAAATTAAAAGAAAAAACAAACAAAAAAAATCCGAAGAATTATGTAAAGATTATTCAAAAATTCGAATTAATACAATCAACGTCTCTAAATGAAAAACTTATAAGTTGTTAGTAGAATTTTCTGAAAAATTAAAATATTTTAAAATAAACGTACACTATTAAAATAATGTTGCAATCGCTGTTCAGTTAGGGGTCTCAGACAATAGACTTAATTTTAATACGAAATACGAAACAATATTTAATAAATTATACAAAGGAAAAAAACTTATAAAGAAACTTACTTATTACTCTGGTCAATCTCGGGATCTTTTAGATCATTTTTTTTACTTTATATATAACATATATTTATATATAACATATATATATATATATATATATATATATATATATATATATATATATATATTATATATATATATATATATATATATATATATATATATATATATATATATATATTATGTAATATAATATAATACAATAATATAGTACAATAATCTGTAATGAGAAAAAAATAATTTCTCATGAAGTCTGTCTAGCACATTTTCGCAGATGCCTGTTCGGCAACAATGAACATGTTATATCAATTCTTGAACTCATTGATGCTTCTGGAATTGATAACTTGATTTGGCAACTTATTCCATAAAAATCCTGTTTGTAAAAAAGTAATATCTAGCTTGGTTTCTTGTAAATTGTCTCGAAATTCTTAATTTAGAGCCTCTAACATTAGGTGCAGGTCCTTGTGCTAAAAGGGAATGTGGTATGGCATTGGTATGAAACCAATTTATTTCATTAAACCCCTTGAATGCTTTAAAATATTGTATCATATCCCCTCGTTGCCTTCTTTGTTCTAGAGATTGTTGATTGAGATAAGTTAGACGGGCTTCGTAATTCAAATTTCTTATTGCTGGAACAACTTTAGTTGCTCTTTTCTGGACAACTTCTAGAGCCCTTATGTCTTTTTTTAAAAAGGATTCCAAACAGGTGCACAATATTCCAAATGAGGTCCAACAAAGGTTGTAAACAATCTAACAAAAATAGGCCCCGTCCAAGATTTGAATGTTCGTTTAAGCATGCCTAGAATTATATTTGCCTTATTTATTGCATGTTTGATGTGGTAATTCCATTTTAATTTATTGTTAAAAATTACACCAAGATTTTGCTCAATTGTTGTTGTTTCAAGGTTTAAAACAGCTTTCATATCATCTTTTATAGTGAAGTAACAGTTCTCTAGGTCTTTGCTTGGTTTTTCACCGAATTTCATAATTTTACATTTATCGATATTGAAGGAAATCTCCCGTAGCTTTGACCAGTCTATAAGGGTGTCAAGGCCATTTTGAACTGATATGATATCCATAGTGTTTTTGATCGTAGCGACGAGTTGGCTATCATCTGCAAAAAGCTTACAAAAATTCTTGACTATTTCTGGCATGTCATTTATATATATCAAAAACATTAGTCGACCAATCCTTGTGGTATCCCACTCATTACCTTTGCCAAGTCAGAATACACACCACTCAAGACTACTCGCTGTCGTCTACCTTTTAAAAAATCAGAAGTCCAAGCAAATAATTTTACATCAAACCCATAGCCATTAAGTTTTATGTTAAGTAGTTCGTGGCTTACTCTGTCAAAAGCATTGGAAAAGTCCAGTAAGATTAGGACAGTCATAAAATTATGGTTTAGTGCTTCTGTAATTATATCTAACACCTCTAAGAGGATTGTGGCGCAAGATTTACCACTAACAAATCCATGTTGGTGAATAGATAGTAGTTTAAGTTTAGTAAGCTTCGTTTAGTTTAAGTTTAGTAAGCTTATATATATAAACATGCTTCGTCGTGTATTCTCTAACTAATCTCTCCATGATCTTACTTGCAATTGAAGTCAACGAGATTGTACGGTAGTTTATTGGTTCAAGTTTACATCCTTTCTTGAAAATAGGTGAGATATTTGTATTTTTCCATAACGAGGGAACAACACCTGTTTCAAAGGATTTGATAAATATATAAGATAATCGAAAACTCAGGCTCTTATAACATTTTGAAAGAACAAATGGATGTAACTGGTCTACTCCTGGCGGTTTTGATTTGTCTAAGCTGCACAATAGAGTGGTTACTTGAGTATTACTAAATAGAGTTTTACTGTCAAGATAGGATAAAGTTTGTGCTTTTGGTTTGAAATCTGGTGTTAATGTTCTGTTGTGGGTCTGAGTAAAAACTTTATAAAACTGTTGGTTCAAACAATGAGTGATATCTTTTTTCTCTGTAATTTGTTTACTGTAAGCATCAAATACTGCCTTGATATCAGTTTTTTTTTTGTTTTTTTTGTTGATGTTAGAGTATAAAATTTTAGGAATTTGTTTTGCATGCATTGAAATACTTTCTTCATAAAAAACTTCATTGTAAAACTGCTTTATTCACTAATTTTTTAACTAATTTACATTGTTTGTTGAATTTAATTTTAAGCTTTCCTTTATTTAATTTAGATGCAGCAATCATCTTTTTGAAAATACAAAATTTATATCTTAAAGCTTTTTTGATATCTTTATTCATCCATCTGGGTACTGATTTGGATAAGTCGAGGGTGGAGAGCTCTCCACCCTCGACTTATCCAAATGAGATCTCTCTAGAGAGATCTCATGGAAACAAACTTCTCATCTAGTTTATTATAACAGTCAATGAAAATATTATAACATTGGTTAGCGTCTTTTTCATAAAAGTTCGTTTGCCAATTAATATCATTAAGTACTTCACTTATAGCTTCATAATTACCACATTTGTAATCTCGTACATTTCTTTGATTGTTTTGTGTACAGAAAAGATCCTTAACTCGATATTCCCACAACAATGTCTTGTGGAACTGATTTTGGTCTGTGGATCCGATATGGGGGCGATATTTCTACTGTACATATACGATCAGGATCATCAATTAAAATTATATCAAGAAAGTTAAGCTTGAAAGCACCCAAGTAGCAAACAATATTGGCATAATATTGGCGCGATAGAGAAGCCAAGATACCCAATATCTTGGCTAATCTTGGCCAAGATATCCCATATTGTGCCAATATTGTCAAGCAATTTTACGCCAATATTGTCTTACCAATATTGGCAAACAATATTGCGCCAATATTATCCCATTATCGTTTTTCTAATATTGTTATGGGATCGTCCATAAATTACGTCACGCATTTTCGATATATTTTGACCTCCCCCCTCCCCCTCGTCACAAAATCGTAACAATTAAGAAGCAAATTTTGTATGACTCGTCACAAAACTACCAACTCCCCCCTCCCCCTAATAGCGTGACGTAATTTATGGACGATCCCTATGCCAATATTGGCGAAATATTGCTTGCCAATATTGGCTTTATATTAAATTTTACATATTGATACGCATGCGTAATATTAAGGAATATTCATAATGTCCTTTAGTTTTGTTAAATGTGTGTAAATGAAAATAATAGCATCTGGGTTATTCCATATCAAATCACCTAAAGGCTCCCAGGGTACCACCTCAGAATTGCTTTAAATTTTGACCACACACAGATTTTATGAAAAAAATACAATCCAGAAAACTTCAGCTTGATTGACCAATTTGTTCAAAAGTTATGATTGAATTAAAAATTACCAAAATCCAAAAAATTTGTGAATCAGCTTACAGCAGTTTTTTACGATTTTTGACAAACCATAACTTTTTAAATAAAGATGGTAATTACCTGAAATTTTGTAGGGTAATAGTTTTTCACCCAAATAATCCATTATTGCAGTTGTTTTTGACTGATTTTTTACAGTTTTTGAGTTATTGTACCTTAAAGTTGCTAAATATTGCAATATAAATATTTTTTCGAACTTTAACGTGTTACAGTTTCATACTTACTTAAAGAAAGTAGATTTTTTTGTTACTATTTTGTACTTAGGGTCACCACTTGTTAGAATAATCAAAATTATGCATTAAAAATTTATTTAGCACATGCAGCAGCCTATTAAAAAATCCCTTTTTTTAAAATTATGATAAATTACATCGACTTTGCTGGCATAGAAAGTAGCGTAAACAGTTGAAATAAATTATGAAACTTTTTAATGTTGAGGTTGTATAGACAATCACCAAAAAAAATTTAAAGACCTATACTCTATCTTATGACATGATTGTAGCCTTTTGAGTGATGATATTTTTAAAAAGAAAACAAAAAAATACCACTTACCACATACAAAATTTTTACCTTAAATTTTATACAAACTATACTGTAAAAAAGTTCATTCAAAGAGTAAGATATCAGTTAAAAGAAAAAGTATGTATACATGAAACTAATTAGCTTATCTCTGATTTATGTAACTCATAATACTGTCATAGTCATTACTAGCAAGAGTATAGTCACGAGCACTTATACTTTTAATCAATGGAACACTTATTTGACATATTATCTTGTCAAATCGAGCCCAACACTGACTTGATCGTGCATCATTTGTCCATTTTAAATTTAATTTGTTTCTTTGCATAAACTTCACATTAACGTCTTGGTTTTCATTACAAATATCAACTACAATCCTTA